CGTGCGGGGTTGGGGGTGAGAGAGACGAGAGTTGAGGGACTGGGTGAGGAGGAAGGGAAGAGCGCAGAGTGGGTTTGTGGGGAAAAGTCGGGAAAGAAGGCGGCAGGAGGTGAGGGAGCCGCGGGACAAGGGGAGAGGTGGGGACCACACTTTCCCTCCTGGGACTTTTGGCGTGCGGCACGCCCCTCCCCAGACCCAGTGCTTGTTCCCTTTGGAAGCCCTGGGTACCCCCCCAGACCACTTGGAGACCCTCCCCTCTTCGTTTCTCCGCATTTGCAAGACCTTATCTCCTGAGGTGAGCAGGGGGCTTTCGGGCCCTCACCAGTGCTGGATGGTCGAGAAACAGGAGAGCAGAAGCCCCTTGGTCCCAGCCCTGGCTCTGCTATCAGTAAACTGTAACTCTGTGTGACCTTGGGCAAGTCACTGCCTTTCTTCTGGTCTCAGATTCCTATTGATTTTTTAAAAAGCAGGGTGGGGGGAATGTATGCAAGTGATATCCCAGATCCCTTCCAGTGCCAAGATGAGGTGATTGTTGAGAAAGTGCAGGAGAATGGGTTCCCCGACATGGGGAAGGAAAGGACGGAGGTGGAGACTGGGCCTTCAGCTGGGGATAGGAGCAAATCCCCAGGGATGTGGGGGCATGGGAGACTACAGCCGCTGGGGCTGGCTGGCCTGTGCCCTGGAATCGCCTTGGAGGGATGGCCGCACCCTGTAAGTAGAGGAGGAGGTTGAGACCTAACCCGAGACAAATGAAGACCAGAAGTAACATTTTGTTCTTCAAAGAGAGCCTGATGAGGAGGTGGTAGATCAGGGAGAAGCAAGGGGAAGATGTGTTTTGGTAAGGCAGCCAGTATCTTTGGGGAGCAGGAGAAATAGGGCTGGTTCAGGAGAGTGGGGTCTAGGATGAGCTTGGAAGCCCGGAGGCAGAGGCTGATGCTACCAGGTAGCGGGAAGATTAGACCATGGTCATCAGCTGGTCTCAGCCAGTTCTTTTTGATGGCGGCTGCCTCTTTCTGAGAGGTGTGCCTCTCAGCTTTCACTTTCCAACACAAATCCCTGTAGGGAGTAGGAGTGAGTCAGACCAGGCAGACATTGGGATAACCTGTCTTTCTGAGGACTTCAGGACTGAGTGAGGATCAGGCAGCAAAGAAAACTGGGGATTGAATCAGAGAGTAAGACATATTGTGGCACTGTCACCCTTGCTGGGGGGGCAGCTTTGTGGAGTAGTTGAAAGCACAGTCATTGGGGCAGGCGCTTGGATTCAGACCTGCCTTTGCCATTTACTCTCTTGGAGCCTTGGTCAAGTTAATCTCTCTGGACTTCAGTGTCTTCATCTACAAAATGGGAATAATAAACTTTAAGATGGTTGTGAGGTATGGTTTCTGGCTCATAATAAGCACTCAGTAAATATTAGCTATTAGCTGTGGTTATCCCCTCTTTTCATTCTCTTTCTCCTCTCTCTCCATATTTGTCCTTTTTTCCTTTTGTTCTTTCTTTGGAATTTCTGAGATGCCCCTCAGATGTGAAGACTGAGAAGAATAATTTATTTGCCTTTTTGAATGGAGGTGGGGTGGGAGAGGGCTTCCATTGGCCCAAGTCAACATATGTTGATCAGATGGTCAAGTATCTCTTCATGGTCTCCCCAGCCTACAAATGTGTGTGTCGTTTTCCAGGGAAGACACAGTCTCTCTTTCAGCCCCTGTTCTTATGTTCTGCTCCGAAGCCAGTTACTTCACGTTCTCACCCAAAAGTGTAGTAGGACCCAAAACTACTGGCACTGCAGTGCACATGGGAGGGTCAAGGATGTTTCAGAGAGAAAGGGGGACACATGGCCCAAAGGAAGCTCAAAAAGAGCTTTGGAAGTTCTGTAGTAACTCATGTCCAGTGCATTGCCCTAACCTCTGTGGGGAGCTGTCCAAGACAGGTCAGTGTCTGAATCCTGGCCAGAGGTCTCCATCCCGTTATACACATGGCTTTTTCTTTAGGTTTCCCCATGCTAGTATGTGACTGCAGTTCCCCAGTCCACAAAAACTTCTGCCAAACTACGTCTCTGTCACAGCCTATACACAGAAAATTTGTATAGATGTACATGGGCACATACACATGCACTGTTTTACAGGTGTGTTTTGGATATTTCATTTTGCAAACATAAAATTAGGGATGAGACTGAATTTTATCACAGCACTTTGTGTACTGGGCCCTAACTAAATGCCAGGGAAGGTTTAAAAGGAAAAAAACTCAATCCCTAA